TCCCTCGCTCTATGCATCTTGCTAGTGGTCCTCGCGCCTCTTAGGCTCATACTGTCGATGACAGTGGCTGCACCCGCTGTTCCAATGTTGCATTTGCTCTTTCTCCTCGCTCTATGCATCTTGCTAGTGGTCCTCGTGCCTCTTAGGCGCATACTGTCGATGACAGTGGCTACATCTGCTTCCGCATGTTCTTCTCCCTCGCTCTATGCATCTTGCTAGTGGTCCTCGCGCCTCTTAGGCTCATACTGTCGATGACAGTGGCTGCATCCGCTGTTGCTATGTTGCGTTTGCTCTTTCTCCTCGCTCTATGCATCTTGCTAGTCGTTCTCGCTCCGCTTAGGTGCATGATGTCAGACAGTGGCCGCATTTCGAGTGTTATCTCTCCCTGGATTACATTATGCTTATTGTTTTCGGGCCCTCCGTGTGTATGATGTTAATGATGGTTCACCATCATGTCCGTCATCGGTTTGATTGTTAATCTCCCGTCCCAATACCATTTCCCGTTGACGCCTTGCAAATATCTCGCCGGCCCATCTTTTTGTAAGTGAATATTTCATCAACATTCAATTGTCGCGTGCGCTGTGAGTGAGTGTGAATCAATCTGCGCCTCATGCTTCTCTGCTTGTTGATAGAGTCTCTGAGGTTATCTGACGGGTTCTAGATTTTCCATGTTTATAATGTAGAGATATAAGAATGAGACAGTGGTTAGTACTGGACAGGCCACATCCTGTGGAGAATAGTGCAGATCTCTGAGGTCGATGTTTGAGACTTCCACTGCATCTACCACGACGGATTGAATGGCAGAAATGCTATATGCAATGTTTGATTCAAACGGTGTGTTATATACACCTGTTCAGTGATATTTCTGAAAGAAATATAGCTACATCCCTTGCTGGTTGTTTTAGTTATGGCAATGCTGCTGGTATCATATTTCACAAAGTGTTCAGTGCACCGCCCGTCAGTGTCACCTCAGACACATCACCAATCACTGTGTTAGGTTTACCCATCAACCCCATCACTGAAACCATCGAGCATCCCTCGGAAACCATGAAAATGACTGATGAAAAGAAGGAACACGAGGCGGAAAGTTGTTTGTGTTATTTTATCTGCTGGAGAAGACTGGTGAGCTACCTCCGAGTCAGAATCCCTATCGTAAGGCGTTGTAAGACGGTAAAATGGGCTAAATATGTCTGTAATAGAGTATATGAACTTATCATCGACTTCTGAGTGGTTTACTTACTGATAGATACCATACCTCTTTTCCCCCTTACCTTGAATTCACGGTTAATGAAGTATTCTAGATCAAATTGTCAGCCGCAGTGATAGAACATTGTGCATCTGTAACTTCAGCTGGTCGCCGTAGTAATGAAATGCAAAGGATGGCAAGATGACTTAACATTGACAGAACGCTTGTGCGTGCATCCGCGCTGCACAGAATGATGGGGTGAACACAGTTGATACAGAGCCGACTGTATCTCGTGCTTATATATGTTGGAGATTGTCATTCTTGTCGTTAATGGAACTCGTATGAAATGCATCAAAGACTTAAAATATGACGTTGGGACTGAACCAGTGCCTCCTACTTCTGTAGCCAAGAGTCATATGGTTCTCATGCACGTCTTCGCTTCCTGTAATATCGTTATCCCTGTAAATAAGTGAATGAATTGTGTTCTTCTGATCTGTCCCAATAAATCACAACATTACTTATGTCAAAGTATTCTATCGCTATCATAATATATACTGAGAATTCCATTGAAAGTCGTCTATCAGCGTGTGCTCAAGGCACGATAAGCGAGCGCTAATCTGTAAATTTCAAGGATTCGTTGCCACATTCGCATGAAGATTTTTAGACCATCTAGATTTGGAGGCGTACGACATATTTTGAAACCTTGTCAGAGTGTATGGATCTAGTGAGTGATAATTCTTACATCGACATACTGTACATGGATTCTGTGTGTCTTAGACAAAGCACACCCTGCACACTTTCGTGGTATTATTTTTATTTGCTAACTTATGTTAGTCAACTATGAGCTAAATGTCAATCTTTCAAGACAGGCGGTTTATATGAAGGAACAAATGAAATCATTTGTACCTTGTTTAAGGATGAGGATGAGTACAAAGAAATACAACGCGCGAGTCGAGGCTACCGAGGAAGAGCAATAGGAAGCACGATGCTAGAATCAGAAGATGGTATCTTACAAAACATTATTTCATTGATTTTTGTCACGTCCACATTGCTGCCCAGCGTGTAATATATCGACCTACAGGCATCATTACTAATATATCCAGAAATTCCATCAAGTACCTGTTTCCTCGACGTCGATTATACCGCGTCTCGTTCGTTCAACAAAGCTTTAAATACCTTTATATTGCAAAGTGAATACGTTACAGTTCAACCGTTTCTTGTACCGTAAGCGCATATGACGATAGGGAGATGTAAATACACCACACAATGGTTTATCTGACAGTATCACTCATCGTTCTTCCATGTTGTTGGATATTTAACTATGCATGTGCGAGACGTAAGATTGCATGAAGTTAGACACACCACATATCTTTGTCCACTATTATGCAGGCCAGGGGGGGAGGAGGACATGACTAAGATATCGAGGTGAAACAAAATGTAACGAATTTAATAGTACAAGATTGTGCCGTATGAGACCTGCATGGAAGATTCATCGTAAAATATCATCATTAGCAGATATGAGAGAAAGTCGATCTATATGAATTAAAACTTGGTATGGACACGTTCGCTAATGGATGGATCACAAATCAGCGCTGTCCGCTAGTCCGGTGATGATATCCTTGAGTAATCTGATACCCTCGTTCCGCGCAACGATGGTTCCATGTTCCCGCTCCATCAGTTCCTCTATATCGTTCCTCTGTTCCTGCGTTTCTCTCTCTAGTCGGTCAACGTCGTCACTCATGACGTCGATCGTTACCTGCTGATAACTAACCTCGTCTTCTAGATCGGCGATGCGGTCTCGGTAACCATCCACCTCAATCCCATGTTCCTCAAGAATCTGCTCGCGTTCCCGTTTCAGGTCATGTACCTGACGTTCAGCATGATCGAGCATTTCCTGCAGCTCCTGTATATATGGCTCAATGGTTGACATTTCGCTAGGAGATCGCCGATTTGGCGTCCCCTCGCCTTCATCGTTCTGTGTAATGTTAGATATTGTCGAAGAAAACGACGGAGGATTGTTACATACGACGTGCGGCGTCTCATCGCTTTCTATCTCATATTTACAACGTTTCAGCGCACCCGATGTCGATGTCGAATCTTCAGCGGGACGTTTCTTTGCAAAATTGAACATGTCGAATGATGAGTGATGAGAATTGATTCTGATCGTAAATAGCACTGTTGAACGATTGATTCAAGAGACGTAGAATGAATTCCTCCTGATATACTCATTCGGCGAGGTATAATTATGTAAGCTGTTGATCCAGTATAATCCACACGTGAATCGGTGATATTTAGTTAACTATCGTGTAAACTGCTTGCAATTACGGTCGTATGTAGATATAATTCAATAATTCGTCGTCAATGTCATATGTACTGCTATTGAATCTCTATATTCCATGCATCTGTTATGTCTGTGATGTTATTCCGTGAGTGGTAACTACAAATCGTAAACCCAGCTCTGCTCACCTCATAGAACGTGTCATTCATTTTTCAGCCGTCGAACTTGGTAGTGGTCAAATTTATCATAGAAATAGTTGATTCATACCGGCGGAATATATGCGTGCCATGTCCTATACCTAATGTTAATAAGTAAGCATCTGTAAGAGTGCCATGAGTCTGGCTCAGAGTCGTGGTCATTTGATTGATGTCCAACTAGGGCGTTTTGGCACGACTAGTCACGGTAGCCTGACTTGCACCAGTAATATACATAGCTAACCCTTTGTGCAGCATACGTATATATCTCTTTGTGTAGTATACGTACCTATCCATTTTTAGACTAGAATATTGGGTAAATGCAACATATCTCACAATAGCAACGCCGGGCAGGATGAGACAACCCTGTCTTCAATGATGGGGACGAGCCCAGGGTCTCCAGAGGTCAGGTTAAACCTCTCGAACTTTACAAGTAATGTCAATGAGCTCAGGAGTGATGACGTGCTGAGTGGACATATATTCATGGATGAAATTGTAACGATCCATTTCGATGCCCTCAGCAAGATACCTATTATAGTGCTTGGTCCAGGCTCGTTTCACGGACGAAAATACACCCACATCAAGTGGTTGGAGTTTGTGAGTCACCTTCGAAGGGAATGCGTGACAGATGGCACCATGATTGGATGCAGCCCTCTTCATTACGTTCGTTTCATGAGTTTCATGCCCATCATACATGAGAGTAATCGGTTTTTTTTGGATCAACACTAGCCAGTTTTAATATATTTCACCATGCGAGTTTATGTCGATGAAGGACTATCCGAGCCTTCTCGCAGTGGGAAGTAGTGCAGACGATATCTAGTTCGACGCCGAAATCGAGGGACTTGCGTTTTCGACTTTTTTTAGTATGTGCAATATACCTCTAGAATTTCCTGGAGCACATGCGAGTTGATGTATATCAAGGACTATCCGAGCCTTCTCGCAGTGGGAAGTGTAGACGATATCTAGTTCGACGCCGAACTCGAAGGACCTGTGTTCTCGACTTTTTCAGCATATGCAATATACCTCTGGAATTGCCTGGAGCACGCGTTCGTTCAGAAATTTTCAATCGCCTACCCGCGGCCCGATGCAGAAAATCGGCTTACAAAGGCAAAGTTGGAGAAGGAGGGCAGGTCCCCTGGTAATTTGCCGTTAACATAGTGCTCAGCGCATCCAGCGTAGCTACGCTATCTTACATCCAACTTATTTAGGTATTCATCCATACACGAAAGCGTTGTGCAAGTATATCGTTTCACACGAAATGCATCTTCTTCGACAAATTGACGTGCTTGTCCTTGAAATTCTTCCTCCAGTGTTCAAGGTCGAAGGCGTCGTCATGACTGGTAATGGTAGCAGCAAGCAAAATACCTGTTCTTAGGGAAGAACCGGACATGGTGTCTTGAGGAAACACAGTGCATGAGCGACGAAAGTGAATTGCACAAAATAGATCGCAGAATTACCATTTACCCACGACTATGAATGTAAGCTCGGGGTTCAGGCCTTTGACCTGCCAGACGTCATCGATCGCCCCTATTAGACACGGTGAAAACAAGAAATGGCCATCGCTAGACTAACTCACCTTTAATTTCCTCGATTTCCTCCTTTCCCGTGAGTGCGTATCCTCCTTCGGAAAGACCGTCTCGGAAAAAATAATGCGCACTGTGGCAGCCCTGTTACGCTCACCAAACTCGTAGATCGTGCGCTTGAAATAGTTGAACTGCATGTACACATGGGCGCTCACGTTCACTACAGACGACGCGCTAGCACACGATTGACTTGCTGCTGCAGGGGATAGATCTGCCAAACAACGATCAGTAGTTAGAAATTAACTTGAACGTCATATTTACTCATTCCTACGATGGATAGATTAGTTTGCGATGCACAGAAGATGAAAAGACGAATGGCACCAATTTTTCTGCATGCGTTTAGCAGAGTGTTGATAAACCTATTGATCATTTGATCGCTGACCCTTGAGTAATTAAGAATTCCCCAGGACAATAGAGCCTTCGGCTTATGGAAACTCTCGTAGATCATATTCCACGAACCATTTCGCGGTTGCTGTAGGCCAAGAATCAAATCATTGCGCGCCATGCATTCTGACATCCTAAACTTACAACTGGTCTACTAGCGGCAGGATTGCCATAGTGTATTTTGGCCGTCGGCAGGACACTTCCGTTGATCGAGATAGGGTCTGGGGCTACTGTGATCCGAGCAGTTGGGCTGAAAGGCGAGTCTTCGCTGTATGTCATGATGTTTCATATATATGAAATGCTGCAACCTCATCAACGCTGAGATCAGTACTTCTTTACATGGGGTACACCACGCGTCTGAGAATATTCTACCATAGCAAATGATATATGAGACTGACTAACCTACGCTTGCCTCAAAATATCATACAGAGCTCTTATTAATATATGTGCACATGAGGCCTGCACGTTTTGCGACAAATTCAACTCCTATAATGCAGTATCTATCACGCCATCCGCCTGACCCAAGCATGTCGCCGAGTAATCCCCCTATATCCATTGATAAGAATGATTTTCCAAGCGACAAATGAGGTAAGTTCAATCTTAAACTGAATATAACAGTCCGGAACCGCACATCACTACACAAGAGCAAACTGTGTGTTGGCCTTGTGGTCCAGAGTTTCACCTGTTGACATTGACAATAACGATGCTTTTGTAGGTTTCATACTATTTGTGACTAGCCGGCGAACGCACTGGCCATTGATGGGCCCACTCACAAGGCAGCTGATTCCCTAAAAGTGGTTTGCACCCAGCGCAGGCCTTCAGCACAATCAGTCGATAATACCCTGTTTTTGAACAGATGGGACAGACACTGTTCTCATCAAGTATTGGTACTCTAACACCGGATGCAGATCACATTGCAGTAAGTATGTATTAACTCGTTGACGTGTATCATTTTCTTACAAGACGAAGTGCAAGTGCAATCATGTTCACAGGATCTTGATTCCAACATCTTCGAATGGAATCGACACTTTATCAACAAAGTCCCGTGTTAAAAAGACTTTTTCAATAGCAAGACAGGGAATCACAGTCTTGTATGTCAGGATTCATATGTGTTTATGCAAATTCAGAGGTGCCTGTGTGCGTCTTGCCAACTGTGGGAAGCAGGTATGTTTTTGTTTGACCTGGAAATTTCGCGGTCTTAATTTTCACAGAGACATGATACAAGAAGCAAATGATATGCCATCATATGTGATGCGCCATAAAAGTAGTTGTATTACTACTTGTGTACTGAAACTGAATATCATATCCCCCAATATGTATCCGATTTTCATATATAAAGTGACTTTAACCTTTAAGGAGAGTTTTATTGCTATTGGGTATGGTCTATTTGTGACGGATATTTATCTTGGAAGACAAAAAAATGAAATTAATTGGCTATATAGCGCTACTTAACAAGATTTAGATACTTCTTTGGTTCAGGAATTAGTAGCTCCATTAATATCAATATAGTCGATGGGAAAGGGCTTATTGATGCTTTGAAGATGCTCAGATATCAAGTGGATAGCACGGATCTCATTTACAATCTACACGAAGTTTTTCTGAAATATATTGACTACGATGATGTCTAGCGAAATCAAGACGCTGTTCTAACCCCGTGCATTAGATGTTGACGAGAAATTGAAACTGAAGACCAAGTCAAAAATCCTCCGATAATAACTATGGTGATCGTGCATGGTATGGTTGTTATCAAAGACCGATCTGGCACTGTGAAAATACCAGCCTAATAGTATAATCCCCCATAAGGGGGAGGGGGGTATAAAGAGAAGTGAGAAGTGAGAACCATGAGAAGTGAGAAGTGAAAAGTGAGAAATGAGATGTGAAAAAGTGAGAAGTGAGAAGTAAAATGTGAGAAGTGAGAAGTCAAGTGAGAAGTGATGAGAAGTGTATTGAGAAGTGAGAAGTCAAGTGAGAAGTGTATTGAGAAGTGATGAGAAGTGTATTGAGAAGTAGTGAGAAGTGTATTGAGAAGTGATGAGAAGTAGTGAGAAGTGATGAGAAGTGTAGTGAAGTGATGAGAAGTGTCATGAGAAGTGTAGTGAGAAGTGATGAGAAGTGTAATGAGAAGTGATGAGAAGTGTATTGAGAAGTAGTGAGAAGTGTAGTGAAGTGATGAGAAGTGTCATGAGAAGTGTAGTGAGAAGTGATGAGAAGTGTAATGAGAAGTGATGAGAAGTGTATTGAGAAGTAGTGAGAAGTGTATTGAGAAGTGATGAGAAGTGTAGTGAAGTGATGAGAAGTGTCATGAGAAGTGATGAAATGAGAAGTGTAGTGTGAAGTGATGAAATGAGAAGTGCAGTGAGAAGTGAGGAGAAGTAGTGAGAAGTGTAGTGAGAAGTGATGAAAAGTAGTGAAAAGTGTAGTGTGAAGTGAGGAGAAGTAGTGAGAAGTGAGAAGTAGACCTATTGCAAAATACCCCCCCTCCCCCTATCAGATATTATATACCAGGGTGCTCAATTATTACACCTGTTCACTTTAATAGACAGATTTAGTTATAACAATTTGACAAGAATATCATGAAAACATCTTAACAGAAGTTAAGTGTTATCTATAAATTTAAGTTAAATAGTTTCCGAAGGGAATGAGTAGTTACATAATTTTTGCCTAGAATTCATCTGAGTGATTGTTCCTTGCTCTATTAAGCTCCTTCAGTGACAAACTCCGTATTATATGGGTCAGCGGAATATGGGCCAATATTATGTATATCCTTGATAATGGCGGACTGGCCAGAAGGAATTACTGATGGAGATGAGTGGACGCATCTGGGGGATATGTAGAGTAGGATGGACATGTGTATTATAGAAAGCTGGGCTGAAGAGAGATGTATAGATGGGTGGGCTGATATGGTAGTATATTACAAAACAGGTGGGTTGAGAGAGCAGTATAGAGATTCACATTTCTACATGCACTTCCATCCAAATTCTCCCACATTCCCTACAAACTCCAGCTCTAATCCATAGGATACGTCTGGCGCATTAGCGCACATATTTTATTTTTTCAGGTTTTGCGCATGGCCTCCCGCATTCGCGTGCATCACACATCTGTACTGGCATTGTCCACACACCTGTCTACCCATCCTTCCCATGTCCTTAGAAGTCCATTGATGCATTTTTCCCATCATATTTCTATTTCATCTAATTGTTTTCCATTGCTAATGCTTGGCTTTGCACTTTATGTGCAGCCGAGACCCTATTACATACTTCACGTACTAATTATAGCCTGTTCAGCTCATCATATTGGACCTGTATGCCTAGTGGTGCTTACTTATTTTACTTATACCCCTCTATTACTTATGTTCTGGGGTCAATTTTCCACCCACTTTCTCTGTGTACTTAGCTACAGGAGAATTTTACTTGTTGTTTGCAGTGACTATCTAAGTCTCATGTGCTAGTAGTCCACCCTTTGCTTTATCATTAGCCAACCTTAGTTGGGGTGATATCAGTGGTCTCACTTCATATCTCTTGCTCTTTCATATCTCACTCTCGCTCGCTCATGCTACCTTCGTGTCATGCATCTCGCACTTCGCCTTTTTCACTTGTGCATCATCACATGCATCTGCATATCATTCATCGCATCGCTCTCACCTCACGCTTTGTGCATTCCCAAGTCCTATTACCCTAGTAGTAGTTTGGTGTCCCTCTTTTTTCTAAGAGAGGTTTCCCTTGACTCAGACAGCTGCCCTTGGGTCAATATTTTACTCGCACCCAGGACTATCTGTGTTTCTTTGGTTTAGCACCAACTGTCCTTGCAGTATAGATTCCTCATCTTTAGCGGTTTATTATATATTATATGAATGGGTTGACTGATGTAGTGAGATGTTGTGTACATGGGTGGGCCCAAATACATATCATATAGATATATGGGCTAAGGTGGTTGTTTTCTATCAAGTAAGACAGGACAGTATATGGCAGGCTCATATGAAAGCCACGTTCTGTCACATGGTGTTCAAATTTGGAAACCTTATATGCTTTGTTTGAGCATTGATGCTGTCATGCTGCAGATTCAACTTGATGGAGCCCCTTTTTGACATCCTAATTTGAAAAATTTGACAGTCATCACACATGTCCTTCATCAGCCAGAATTTTGCACTATCATATTACAAGTGAGTTTTTGTTGCTGAGCCGACTCTACTGTGTTGAAGACCTCCCCTTTAGGTATGTGCTAGTAAGAAGTAATGAGCAGTAATGAGAAGTGAAGTGAGAAGTGGGAGATGATGATGAGAAGAAGTGAAGTAAGAGTGTATCATCTGACTCTTTTCTGATACCCCAGATTTGCCTTGAATGCATAGATAAAAAGTAATAAGAAGTCAGAAGTGATGAGAAGTAACAAGAAGTTAGAAACAGAGATGAGAAGTGAAGTGAGAAGTAATGAGAAGTAATGAGAAGTAGTAAAAAGTCAGAAACAAAGATGAGAAGTGAAGTGAGAAAGTAATGAAAAGTAGTGAGAAGTCAAGTAAGAAATAGTGAGAAGTCAGAAACAAAGATGAGAAGGAGTGAGAGAAGTGATAAAAATGATGAGAAGTGAGAAGTAGTGAGAAGTTAAGTCAAAAGTGGTGAGAAGTCAGAAATAAAGATGAGAATTAGTAAAAAGTAATGAGCAATCTATCATCTAACTTTTTTCTGCTCCAGAAGTAATAAAAATGATAAGAAGTAAAGTGAGAAGTAGTGAGAAGTGATAAACAATGATGAGAATGTTGGATTTAGATTACCTTATTGAGTTTGACGCAGAACAAGTTGAAGGTGGCTTAAACCTTAAATCATCGGTATTACATACAGTAGTGTTATTTTTGTATGCCTTACGTGTTTGCAACCAATTCATCGTGCACTTGGACTGTCAAAAATTCTATAGAGAATTGGTAAGAAGTAATAAGCAGTAACAAGAAGTAAAGTAACAAGTAACATAGAAGTCAAGTATGAAGTATTGAGAAGTAATATGAATTATGAAAAGGAGTAAGAAAAGTAATAAAAATGATTAGAAGTGCAAAAAAATAGTGAAGTAAAAAGCAAATAATAAGTAATAAAAAGTAGTAAAATATGAAATAAAAAGTGAAGTGAAAAAAGTAGTGAGAAGTACAATAGACTACTTCTTATTACCTCTCACATTATTTTTACGACTTCTCATTACATCTCACTTCACTGTTCACTACTTCTCACCACTTCTTATCACCTCTGACTTCATTTTGTTCTCACTTTACTTCTCAATACTTCTTATAATTTTTCACT